CACACACACACACACACACACACACACACACACACACACACACACACCCTCCCCAGTACACTGCTCCAAGGGAGGGCTCACACCACTCCTTTCATCCTCCTCAGCATAGCCCAGGTCACACTGTGAGACACACAACTTGCTACCAAGTAATGCACATGAGAGGTAATCATCTCTCATCGCTCCTCCTAGGCTAGGGGCTTTCTACTCAAAGCACAGGCCCTGGGCCAGCAGCATCAAAGCACCTGGGAATTTCTTAAAATACTACATCTCAGACCCCACCTCAGAATTACTGAATCAACGTCTGTATTTAACAAGATCGGGGATGACTTCTGTGCCCATGAAAGGATGAAAAGCCCGGCTTAGAGGACACTTCTGTGCATAACTACCCCAGCCCTACCTGACCCACATGACATTGATGGGCCTTCCCCACCTCCCAACCGTGTCCTCCATCACATCTGGGCATCTCAAGTTCAAGGTCAAGGGAGAGGCAACAATGCCTCCCTCCTCCAGCTCATCTTCTGAGTTCTAGTCCTGTCATCTTAATCCAACATCTGTATCGAGGTGCACACATGTGTGACAACTGGGCAAGGAAGCTTATTTGTTAAATAGAGGCCTGGGAACTGAGTTGAGTTGTAAAAATAGACAGTATTTTGATAGGTGAGGCGGGAAGGTATAGATGGGAAAGACAGAGAAATCACAGATAAGCTTCAGTACTTTGGGAAAAGGTAGAATATAAACGGTGACTGACACCTGCGCAGGGCGTGAAAAAAGCCATGGGAGAAGTTTAGATCGGATGGCCTCAAAGGACATGGGTGTGATCTCTCTCCGGATAGTAGACACAAGTTTCAGAGCAGAGGTAGTCCTAAATAAAAGCCACCACCCTGCTGAACCAAACAGCAAAATACCAGAGAATGGGACGGAGAAAAGAGAAGACGCACAAGTACAAGTGGCTCACGATGTGGTATTTCTGCAGGTCTGTTCAGGGCACGTTCCAGATGTGTGTGCCGTGCCTGGGGCCTAACTGCATCGTGCTCCTGTGCATTGGGACCACGGGCAGAGGGTAGTTGTTGAGATACAAACGTGAACTCCCCTTAACTAAGTTACATCTGGCAGTAAATGAGGTCATAAATCGATAAGTATTGCTGAAAGCCGGATTTTAAGACGACTTTCTCCTTTCAGTGGTATTTAGAGCCAAATTTCAGGGGGAAAAATAGAGTAGTAAAGTTCCTTGGCATTTTCAGATCACTTAAAGAGATTATCGTGCAGCCAAAATGAAGTATCAACAGCAAGGCAGATGCCTGATATTGAAAATCTAACATTATTAAGCATTATGGATATTGATTAGACAGCAGATTAAACATGCCCTCTGTACCGATGCAGGGATTTCCTATTGACCACGAGTGCTCCCAGAACAGCATTGCCTTCCTTCCCCAAGCTGGTGTTTAGTCATCGTCAGTTGGAATTGCATTTGGAGAACAGTGATATGTACTCAGGTACTAAAGGCAGCCATAAAGTGTCAATAGATTGCACAAGTAAGAGACTTGCCATTCCGCCAGTGACACAAAGACAGATGGTTTCCCATCAATGAGTTTCTGAGACAAAGCTTTTCTAGATAGGGGACAGGAATGAGACTGTAATGGAGAGATCCCATTCTTGTGATCGGGCTGCTAAATTAATTTAGCCTGTCCAGTTAGCGGAGCTTCATCTGTTACATTAGGGGCCTATAATGTGGCTGTCACGACGTTCTGGGGTGTCTACAGCTTTGTCACCTGTGCCTTATGCAGACCCACTAGAATTCTAACTGCTTGGATCCTTCTGTGCGGGACCCAGATCTGTTTGATGTGAGAATCTTTACCATTTGGATAGCCAACTGATATGAAGAGTCCTGGGATCTTTACAACAGAGCCTCATGATTCCCAGGTTTGGTGTTCCATTACAGTACATGGCTTCCTGGGCATTCGATCCCAGACATATAATGATGTGATCAGAGCCATAGGGATTATAAGAGTGATCTGGGAGAACTGTCCCACCCTACACCAGAAGACAATAAGGTCCATGGAAGTTAAATGCTTTCTTTCTCAATATCTCATATCTGGTGGCACTGGTAGCCTGAGAGCCAGGTCGCTAGACTCCAGTCCAGGGCCCATGCTCTTGAACCCTTAAGCCAAAGATGCTGCTCTGTCTTCTTCCTTTTGTAGCATTAAAGTCATGTCTTGATATTGATCTGATTCTTTAACCAGCATGACTGGATAAAATGGAACACTACCAGTGTCATATTTCTGCCTAACGATGATGGCAGCTCATCATAAGTGAGCACCTGCTTAGGCCAGATCCTATGCTGTATGCTTCTCATCTAGAAACTCACTTGGTCCTTGCAGTGACCCTAAACGGTGCGCGGTATTATTATTCTTCACTTCTTAAAAAAGAAAATGTAGCTCTAAAAGATTACATCATTTCCCAGGCATGTTAGTCAGAGGCATAGCCAAGATTTGAACTACTAGTCTGTCGACCCCAAAGCCTGTGTTTCTAACCACAGTGCTGTATTCGCCCCTACCTCATTATGATGTTGAGCTGGGATTTCCTCTCTCCCTTAGCAAAGTCCTCGCTCAGAGCTGTCCTGCTTTTTTTAGGAATGCCAGCTGAACACAAAATCAGGAACCCCTGCTTTGAAACGCCCTGGCATGGGGGTTGCCATCCACGGTCATCTCTGTACTCGAAGCAGCTGTAGCAGCAGCGAGCTGTCTCTCTCGAGCGCCTGCAGCGAATACTCCAGCGGCTCCTCCTACACGTGGCATGATGGGAAGAACCTCAGGAAAAGGGTAAGGCTCCTTTCAGGGCACTGCAGCGTCAGACAGAACCAGAAGAGAAGCCTCTTCCGGTAGGAAGGCGGAAGGTGGGAGGGAGGCGAAGAAGGAAATGACCATTTGCTGAGTTCGTGTTTGTTTACACTTCTCCCCATTACATAGAAGAGGAAATTGGCTAGAGACGGTTAAGTTCCTTGCTAGAAGTCACACGGCCAGTGAGAAGTGGCGTGATGATTCAACCTCAGATGACGAGGCCATCATGGGAGGGAGTTTGGGAGAGAAAGACATTTTCCTTTCGTTGCTTTGGTGGAGCCCACCGAATTCCCAGATTTATATCGAGTTGGAACTGGAGCCCTGGCCTAATGGAACTGACCACGCTTCAGACCGACTAAGACATTTTCAAGTAGTTTTATGGACGTCACGCCTGTGATGCTCAGAGAGACTTGTTAATGTCCGCTGCAGATGAGAGTGGACTTGCCCACGTGCCAAGTCATTCCAGACTGAGCATCCCGTGAGAGCTCAAAGAAAAGGTTTTCTTCTAGAGAATAGGGAGCGCGGTGCATTCTCCCCGAATGGATGGCCGAAAGGTTTGGAAGTATCATTAGCTTTGTAGGAGTTTACTGCTCAAAAATAGCATGTATTATATTGACCTTTAATCAAGGCAATAGCCTCATAAAACACTAATATTATGGCTGTAAGTTGGAGGGTGGCACAGTAGAGAGGGAGAATTCCATGGTAGACAACGAGCGCTATGGCTTCAGTGAAAGTCGAGCATGTCTCTACTTAGATGCCAGGAGTAACTCTTACGGCTGGAATGACTCCATCTGCAAAGTGGGCTCACCCAGCTGAAGATTCCTTCATGATTTGAATAAACACCTTTGCACACTGGTATAAGCCAGGAATCTGGAATCGCTGTTTCTGCAGTTTCCTAATGTTAAAGAAAAACAAAGAGTACAGGAGAATGGAAACCCTGAATTCGAATATTTGGAGATCGGCTTTCTGTCATCTGTATAAATTTAGTTTATGACTTCAGAAGCAAAAGAAACCAGGGAAATTCCATAACTGCCAGAAAATTTGGGTGAGGGAGGAGGTTTTTCATACTCTGAACAAGAACTCAGAACAAGATGGCAAGCTTGAATTTAGAGCTTATTCCCTCGGACTCAGACTTACAGTGCAAAGTGCGGAGGCTGGGGTGTTATCAGAATTGCTCCTTCTAAGGAGCTGTTTGGAGTTCTGAATAATGACTGCTAGGAACCTGGCCCTTAGCAGACTGGGGAGGTGGTGGTGGGGGGGGATGTTCCCTCTCTTTGTCTCTGAATATTGCTGGCTCCCAGAGCCCCCTGCTCTGCTCTTTTCATTCACAGCTCTTTCTCTCTCTCTCTGAGCCTTTTTTCTTTTCTTTTCTTTTCTTTCTTGAGATTTCTCCAGTTAGAACAACCCTCGATATCCTAGGGACATCTCTTCCCTGAAAGAGGAGAAATAAGGTTCTTAAGACACTTCATACACACTCCATTAGCCATCATCTGGAGATTTGACAGTGTCCCATCTCAAACTGGCTGTGGAGTACCAGCGTGCCTGCCACATCTCCCAGAGAAAAGTCCTAATTCTCAGGGATCCAGCAAACTAGACCCAGTCTCATGAAGACAGTTTATTTTATTTTATTTTATTTTTATTTGTTTGTTTATTTATTTTTGGCTGCGTTGGGTCTTCATTGCTGTGCATGGGCTTACTCAAGTTGCGGCGAGCAGGGGCTACTCTTCGTTGCGGTGCGCGGGCTTCTCATTGCGGTGGCTTCTCTTGTTGCGGAGCACGGGCTCTAGGCATGCAGGCTTCAGTAGTTGTGGCACACGGGCTTCAGTAGTTGTGGCTCGCGGGCTCTAGAGCGCAGGCTCAGTAGTCGTGGCGCACAGGCTTAGTTGCTCCGCAGCACGTGGGATCTTCCCAGACCAGGGCTTGAACCCGTGTCCCCTACATTGGCAGGTGATTCTTAACCACTGGGCCACCAGGGAAGAAGTCTTAAAGACATTTTAAGTTGATATTATTTAAGGAACTTCTTAAGTTCTTACCATGTACCAGGTACTCATTTAGTATTAACTTACATAATAAATTCATACAATAAAAATTTGAATGTGAATATAATATTAACCTATGTAATAACAAATATATGACCAATGGTTCTTTAGTAGTTCATAAGTATTTTTTTTTAATATTTTTTTGTGTAGAAACAGAAGGGAAGCCTACATGAAATGCACTGGCCTGCCCTCCATGGAGGAATCTGGCTTGTATTATTGAGTAATGACCACGTCAGCTTTGTCAGCTCGTCATAAGTACTAGCTCATTTAATGCTCGTGCTAGCTTATTAAGTAGGTTCTCCTATTTCCTCCATTTCACAGAGAAGTAAACTGAGGTGCTGAGAAATTAAATATCCATCCCAAGGTCTCATAGCCAGTAAGCGGAGCTGGGCAGTTGGTTCCAGAACCTTAATCATTCTGCTAGACTGACCTCCTTGAATCAGCCTAAAACATGGAGGAGTCCCAGTTGTTGGGATGGGTTTGTTTCCATTAAGACCAAGAATGTCATTTAAAAAAAAAAAAGAATGTGTAAAACTGTTGTCTAGTCAAGAAATAGGAAAGAACTGTGGGCATTAAACCGAGGCTCCTGCCTTAGCAGCAGCATCTTTCAGCCAGCTGCCCTGCTCCCCAGAGCAACTCTGTTCTGACTTTTTCCCTGCAAAGAATGAAGCCGCCAGTATGAAATGCCAGCTTCGTCCCACCATCTCCCCAATAGGAGATTCATGCTTTTTTTCAAGTTTCAAGATTATCCTCAACCTTTCTCCAGCTATTAAATACCATGACCTCCTTTGGAAAACTGTTGGAGGAATGTGGCTAATCTCACAGGGTGGGGAGCCAGGGCCCTGGGAGGTTTGCAGCCTTGGGCCCTGGGATGACGCAGACCACAGCATGGGCAGGCTGCGGGGAGGCAGAAGGGAAGTGGGTAGGCAGACACAGAGCACATCTATGGCAGGAACAAATCTGCCCCTTTCAAGCTCTAAGAGGGTGCTTTTGCCTGGCTTCTCTTCTTTTTTGGGAACGTGACATCAGGATCATGGAAATTCTTAGAAACCCAAGCTGTGGCAGTCTGCTCACTGGTCAGTCTGTAATACCCAGACTTACCGAAGGGGTTTCTTCTGATCTCCGAAGGAGCCTTTAATGGCACAGCAGAAGAGGAGGGGGAAGGGGAAGCATCACCAAAATAGAATCTATGCACAGGAACTTCTGACCCTGGAGAATTTTCCAAAGAGAATATATAATTTGACTTAAAACCAATATGCATATAACAAATAAAGAAAAAATAAACAAGACATATTGTTGATGACAAGATTTGTATGATTTTTAACAATCATACAATTTTTATGAGAAAGTTTTAGGTGTAAGCAGATGCTCACAGCTTACTAAAAAGCTGAGATTCCAAGGCAAGTTTCTGACATGGAGTTGACCTCTGCTTATGAGCGCTCAGGTGTTCAGAGTCCTGGAGCAGCAGGGCAGCTGGTGTGGAGGTGCCAACAGGAGCTGTACTCTTAGCCAAGACTGGTGCAGAGTGCACATCTGAAACCACCAGATTCATGCATAGACATTCTTCATCGTTAATTATATAGCCTTTTAAAAGAAAAAAGTCATTAGGTCAGAGCCTCCCAGTTTCCCCGAGTGCCGGTTTGTGATTAAACTCCGCAAGTTCCATTCAAAAGAGGGGTGTTGGAATAACCTATGGTCTCTATTATGACTTTGGCTAATACAGAGGGTAGAACAGAGGCTAAGCTTCATTCCAGCAGTATCGCATCCAGATTGACGGTGCAGTCTCTAGAGCCAGATTGCCTGGGTTCAGATCTCCACACAGCCACTTCAGAAGTGAGTCATAGGAAGGACCCAGGAGACCAGAGTTCAAACCTTTGCTCCAGCTGTTCCTTAACTATGTGATCTCCAAAGGACGGATCTTGCTGAATCTCACCTTCCTGCCTAGTAAAATAGAACTGATAATGTCTCCCTCATGGTATTGTTCTGAAAATTAAATCAAAGCACCGGGTCAGGGGCTGGTACACAGCAAATGCTTGGTCAATGTAAGCTTCCTCCTCTGCCATTCTGTTTCTTGCTAGCAGTAATTTGATAAATATGAATGTCTGAGTAGAATGCCATGTTTTTTTCTATGTCATTTCTGGGTCACTTCTCCAGAACTAACACTGGTATTTGGAGAAATATGAAGAACAGGAAATTGACCTTTTGAAGTTAGTAGGTGAACCATTGCTATGACTTCTAACAGCAAATGCCCAGCTGCTCTATCTGTGTAAACATTTCACAGATGTTCACTGCCTATCAATGAGTAAAGTCATGAAGCCACATGGCATTCTAACTTTCAGTCGTTAGAATGGAAGGGACCGTAAAGGCAGGGACCAACTCACTTTTCCATTTACCCTCTTTACCTGCCGTATACACTGAGCAGTGAGCCATAGTGTCTTCTGGTTACTCCCTAAGTGTTCCTTAAGCATACTTTTCCAGTTGAGGTCTTTGCCCTCCCATTTCTTCTACCTGGAAATCATTTCCTCTACTTTTAAACTAAGGCAAACCTATCTCTCTTTCTAGGGCTAGGTTTATTTTTTAAAAAAAGAAAAGAAAAGGAAACTTATATGCTTTTTGTGTTTCTTTTCCAAACAGACATGTGGTCTCCCTCGTCTGAAATTCTGGAGTACCTGCTACCCCTGTATGTCTCATATGATCCCTTGACTTATGGTTCCTTGAGCTCAACTCCTCCTGGGGGTTGCATGCTCCTTGAAAGCAGGGTCCTCATCCTCTACTTATCTAAATCATATGCTGCTTAGCTCAGGACCTGGCAAGGTAGAGATTCGCTGCGTAGTTAATGAATTAGTTTGAAT